CCTTGCTGTCTGGGGAATTCTGAGAGTTGAAGTCCACCCCTCTTCAAGCTCCCAAGGTTGAGAAACACTGGATTATTGTTTAATTATCGGATTGTTGCAAACTTAGAAAATTGGATTGAGCAAACCACAGTTAAGGTTAAGCTGAGCTTGTCCTGTGGATGCCACCCTCAGCTCAGTTTCACTTCAGTGCTTTGGCTGAACCCAGAAAAGGGGAGAGGCTGAATTCAGGGGGCAGGGAGGGAACTGTCCTGCCAGGTGCCCCAGTGAGAAAGGCCCCCTTGGGCAGCCTCACCTCTTGGGTGCCCCTTGGCCAGACGGACGGTGGGAACCAAGGCAATTGAAACGTAGTGTCCTGGGCTGTCAGGAAAGGGTTAAAGTTTGGGCGGTAGTCCTTCCCTCTGAAAAGACGCCCAAGGAAGATTTCCGCAGTGCCCCAAAGCCCTCTGGTTCAAGGAAGGAGCGTGGGGGGTGACAGGGAGAGGGTGCAGCCCGGGCTAAAGCTTTATCTCCTGCCACAGCCAGGCTGACTTCAAACAGGCGTTCCCTGGTGTGGACCGGCTTCGCTGCTGCACAGTTGTGCACCGTTTAGAGCCGTTAAGCTAAACGATAAACTGCTTTCATTAGCCTGTAATGAGCCATCAAAAATACCTCCCTGGTGGGTTGGCCTCCTTTGGTGATGGCAGCGGCAGCGGTGGCGCCGTGCTGCAGGCGAGCACCCAGGCAGGCGGGCTGGCGTTGCTTTTCTCCATCCTGCTGCCCCACTTGGCATGGGGCAGGGCCCGGTCCTCCTAGAGTTCCTCCCACGTGCCTGTTGCGCGTGGGGCTGTCCCCATTGCAGGGAAGAATGTGTCTGCCCTCTCCCTCCGCCCCTTGACAGCGTCAACCGCAATCATTTGAGGTGCCTTCTGATCTGCCCCTTAAGGTGCAATGGGCCTCCGTGACTCGTGCGCTCTGGGTGCGCCTCTCCAGTTTAGTTTACTAGCCGGCCAAGCCCAAATTGCCAGAGGAGTGCCAGCGCCTCCAGGGACACCTTGACTTGCCGGAGAAAACCCCTGATGGCCTCTCCGCCTGCTGCAGTCACGGGCAGAGCAGCACGGGCCAGCTAGAAGGTTGGCAGCTCTTCCGG